AAAAAATTCTAACTTATACTTGAACAGATACTTGAACAGATAATATTCTCATGCTGGGATGGGCCCTGGGTTGGTTTTTAGATAGGAAATGATCAGGAGAACATCTTTCTTTTTCCTGAATAGGTAGTCTATTCTCCTCCTTCCTTTCTCAATAGTCCATCTTGTTTTCTTACTTCATTATGAAGCAAATATCAGTGGCTAAAATTGGACTGGTATTTGGGAAACATGGACTTTCAGATACTTCAGACTGGCATAGGCTATATTCACACCAAATTTAGTCTTTCCAAGTCATGGCAATGTAAGCTATTTATTCTGAAATTTTCAGCATAGGTTAAAAACTCAGATTTCTCCAGCACAGAGGTTAGTTTGACAAACTGCACTCAGCCAAAATGTAGGTTTTTTGATGGCTTGATTTATGGCTTAGTGTTACATGTAAAACAGGTATTATGACTTGTTCAGCCACCACCAACCCCAGCTAATTTAGATTACTGATTGATATAACAAGTAGTCTAAAATAATAGCAGGGAAAAGTTGAAATTCAGAGGGATGTTATTTCCAAGGATACAATTTCAGGTATAATTCTTAGCATCTCATATAAGAGTAGGGACGTCTCCCATTATTCAGGGTAAGAAATATTACATGGTCCAATCTAATAGTCAATTATTACAGTCAATTATAAGGAATTTTCTTATATTCCCTCAATAAAGCCAGATTTGAAGATTACTGGAATGTAGTACACGGATAATTTCCAAAGTGCATGGCTTAGTGTTCAGAAAAGTCAAGATCTGGATGTATTTCTTTATCATGGAATCATGAAACTTTTTCTAATCGACATTGTGCGATCTTGAAAAGCTAAACATGGATGGACCTTTTTAGAACTAGGATCAGAGATCAGTATGAAATCCCAGCACTGTAGAATAGAAGAGGGGAAAATTTCCTATTTGACCTGGTCTTTCCCTGGTAAAAAATAGAAAAACTAATAAAAGTTATATTTCAGTAATGGTGAATTTGACACAGTCTGTAATTCTTTTAAAGGGTATTATTGACTCACACTTATCAGCACATCCTGGCTTTGGCATTTGCTACCAATGAGATAAATGAAAATCCATGGATTTTACCCAATGTCTCCCTGGGCTTTTGTATATATAATAGTTATTTCACAGAACACTGGACTTCTCTTGCCTCAATGGAACTTCTTTCTACATGGGAAAAATTCATTCCTAACTACAAGTGTGATGCCTCAAATAATCCAGTTGCTGTTATTGGGGGACCCAATGTCAACACATATCTTCCCATGACAACCATCCTGTCTATCTATAAGGTTTTACAGGTATGAGAGGCAGATAAAGAAAAAGAGTTAAATAGGGACTTCATAATTCTCTTCTTTTTCAGAGAGGGCTTTGTCATTTGTTCCTTTTTTGAAAAAAGCAAATTAGCTTCTTGTGTATAGAAGAAAGAAAGAAAAAACCCTTATGATTCATTTCTATGACAGAAATAAAAGAATACTTAGATATTCCTTTATTGATGAGTAACAACATAAGCATGAGTTGAAAAAAAGGTATTCTTCTTACAGGCAATGTTAAAATGCTAGACGCTGTATCACTGTATACACATTTCTGTTGGGATATAAGTATTATCTCCTTTTTAATTTATTATTTTAGCTCACATATGGCTCAGCTCCACTGCAAACTACAAAAATTCAGACCACATTCTTGTACTCGATGTTCCCAAATTGGTCTCTTCAGTATATAGGGATTATCCAGTTACTACTGTTTTTCAAATGGACATGGGTCGGGGCGCTTTATCTGGATGATGACAATGGAGAGGAATTTGCACAGCTCGTGCTTCCTACATTTCTTGAGAAGGGCATTTGCTTTGATTTCATTAAAAAGTTCCCTCAAGTAAGTTTTTCCAGTGATATTGGAAGCATTGTGGTAGAAGGATTTACAACATTTGCTTTTGTACTGGAAAGTTCTGCGACTGTTGTGGTCATAAATGGTGAGATTCAGACCATGATGGTTATAAGAACATTGCTCTATTTCACAGAAAATGAACATATATCTGGTATGAAAAAGGTCTGGATAATGTCAGCCCAGATGGATATCACATCTCTTCCTTTCCAACGAACTTGGGACATGGACTTTATCCATGGTGCTCTGTCTCTTGCTGTTCACTCTAATGAGGTGTCAGGCTTCCAGAATTTCCTTCATATCAGAAAACACATCTCAGAAACAGAAGATGGTTTTATCAGGGACTTCTGGCAAGAAGCATTTAATTGTCTTCTCCCGGGCTCTTTAGGAGACAGCCCAGATGGAGAAAACTGCACAGGGGAGGAGAAGCTGGAGAATCTTCCAGGATCTGTCTTTGAAATGAGCATGACTAGTCATAGCTATAGCATCTACAATGCAGTCTATGCTGTGGCACATGCTTTGCAAGCGATGGATTCTTCCAAATTCAGTCGCAGAATATTGGCAAATGTCAACACAGGGAAGCCTCTCCATCAGGTAAAAAAGTGTTCTCTATAGGATTAGCTCAAGACTTTGGCCCAGCTGTTCACTAACATCTGCTTCCCTCCTTTCATGGTCTGGTCACTAATTCATTCATTTTGCTTTCTTCCATGTTCAAAAGTTTAAAATCTCAAATTCTTTTCATTGTATTTATAAAGAAATTTGTAGAAACTTATTTAAAAAACCCTCCTAAACACAGTGATCCTTACTTTAGATCCTAGCTCTGAATACGTCTGCCCCTGCTTAGTTTTTCAAGACCAGACAGGATTGGTTAGGGGGATTAACATAGACTACGTAGTTTCATGATGAAGAAATACATCCAGATCTTGACTTTTCTGAACACTAGCCAAGCACTGTAAGAACTTTGGAAATTATCAGTGCACTATGTTTCAATATTTTTCTTTCCTTTTTTTAAAATAACTTTATTAGATTTTAAAATAAAAACAATAAAAAATGAAAAAAAAA